CAAACCTATAATCGGGGATAGAACTTGAAAAATATGATTTTTTAAAAATGTTATTTAACATGACATTTAAATGTAATATTTACTAATACAGAAAGCTTACCAAAAAGTATGGAATATTTAATTGTAGCTTTACCTGATTTTTCTCAGTTGAGTAAGTATATTCCAGTATGCACTGAAACATGCACACGATATGCCAAGATTATATAGGGTTTGAAACGTCACATGCTCCGACCCACCCTTGGAAATGCATAGAAAAAGGTCAATACTTACTTTTTATTGTCAAAATATTTATTGCTCTTCTTATAGGTTCAAAGTCCAGTAAGGCAAGCTGTAGCTAATGATTATAAATAGCCACAAATGGCCTTTTCCAAGAATTTACTGCTAGTTTGCTATTTGCTTTCACACCTTGATGTTATTTGCTGCCACATCTCTCATATCTGTCAAACTATTTGTCAAGAAACAAAAAATACAATATTATTATAGATATATATATATATAAATAATTTTTTTTTTTTTTTAGCTTCAAAAAAATAAAAATTAGCTATTGTAGAAAAGTATTCTAAACATGACTAAAGCTACTCCCCAATAAGACTGGGCAGAAAACATGGATACTGCTATTTCGTTAATGAATTAAAAATACGTGACATCTGACATGGATTTAGTTTGTTCAGCAGTTTGAGACTCAGAATCGATTTATTGCTAGCTAAGTAAAACACTGTTGCCATGAGTATAGAAACTACCTGCCGTTTTTTATGACTTTAACGATTCAGAGTACATATAACCATACAGGACACACTGCTATTAGGCGCCTACACCTCACTGTACTGAGAACATTAAAGACAATAAAATAATTTAAATAATTAAAATTAAACAATAATTAATAAAGAAAAAATTAACAGATGTGTGTAACATGAAATTATGTGACTTTTTTTCTTCAGCACTATCTCAGGACATTTACTTTTATTAGAGGTTTGTTCAAGTCATTTTCTTTATGAATAGATTTTCCCTAATCCACTTGAAAATCAGCAAACTTATTCCAGAAGCGAATGAGTAAGTATGGAAAAGAGCTTTGTCATCTGTGTACGTGGGTCATTTCTTTGCTCTCCCTGACAAAGTCTAAGTGGCTAGACTCAGATCTTGGGCAATCACATCCGCTCCACCCTCAGAGTCAGAAGGACAATAAAGCATTTAAACTTAAAGGAACACATGAATGTGAGCACTTTAGACCTACTTTAACATCTCTACTCATCTGCTGTTTGGGTTTTATATATATATATATATATATATATATATATATCACTTTCAGATATGAGCAGAAAGACAAGTTAGTGCACTCTCAGGGCTGGGTTGCGGCAGGAAGGGCATCCGGTGTAAAACATGTGCCAAATCGGCTGATAAAAAAAAGGGAGCAAGCCAAAGGAGAGAGGTATGAGCAGAAAGACTTAACTACATACTGTGAGATAACCAGAGGAAAATATGACAGCATTTAATTATTTTTAGGCTGTTGTGTCATTCTGCAGTCTGATGTTTTTGTATAATGATTGCTAAATTGTAAGTAAAGCTGCCAGATCACTACTCACTTGTCTATTTATTGATTAAGAGTTAAAAGGTAAAAACAATTGCCCATGACACTTTATTGTAAAATAAATGTGTAATTTTTTCAGTAGCTCTAATGAAGCATTATAAAAACACAAGCTTTGTAAAATTATTCACATGAAGGATTGTGGGTTTTAATTTCATTTATATACAATCACAAAATAAATTACATACATCACACAAAAACTCCAACTCTCAGAGGTAAATATAAAAGACAAAATTTATTTCTAAAGTATAAAGGTGTTATGTACAAATGGCTCTGGCAGAAGGTATTTTATAGTTTTTGCTGTGATTCTGTGGTCCTGTCAAAGCCTCAGTCCGTGTCTGATGATCCAGTAGAGCTGTCAGATGAGGAAGAGTCTGTGTCTTTCTTTTGATGTTTTTTCTTGTGTTTCTTTTCTTTCTCTCTTTTCTCCTTTTTCCCTTTCTTTTTGTGGCTCTTGTGCTTTTTCTTCTTCTTGCTCACTTCTTCCTCATCATCACTTGATGAATAAGACCTGAGGGTATGAAATCATATGAATATCAGATCAAACGGCAGTAATGACACCTAAAATATACAAAAATCACTATTTTAAATAAATTTATTGAAAACAAAAAAAGTTGTTAATGTATATGTATATATATATATATATATATATATAGGTGCATATTTATGAAGGACTTTTGTAGAGCCACTACAAAATAAACATTTATTTATTCATTCTTATATCCATTCTATAATATCTTTATTGGACTTTTCTACATGGAATAACAAGTGCACAGATAACGAGCCCATAATTATCAATTAGAGAAAATAAAAGTTACAAAAAAAACAAAAAAACTGTATGTAGTTAATCATAATAAATATGTTGATATATAATTTTGAATGCAAAATTTAAGCACATTTTTAAAGCATTTACAAATT